TGCGACTCCAGAAGACAGAGTAGAACTTCTCCACTATGTTTCGGAGGCTGTAAATCTTTACGGAAGCAGACTGTCTCATCTTTCTCCCAGCGAGCAGCTGGTAGGTTCAAACTGCCAATCTTCTGGTTAGCAACCCCCCACACTAAACCAGTTGCACCACCAGGCTCCTACATATAACCGAGCATGTACCATGTCTACATTTGTTGCATACACAGTCCAGTGACACCGATTACCTTCATTACATTATGCAACAGCACTACTATGTTTCCAGATGATTCCACCGACATTAACAGAAGGACATCATGTTTAGCCAAGTGGAAAATCAGTGAAAAAGAGGAAGACTCCCAACAAGATGGATGGACATAGTGGCAGCAGCAATGGGCTCAAGCTTAATGATAGTGAGGTTGGCACCGGATCAGGCAGTGTTTCGTTCTGTTGTGCACGGGGTCGCTATGGGTTGGAGTCAACTCAACAGCAGCTGCCAGTGACAATATTAACAGCAACTTGGTACCCCTGAAGCTAAGGCTCCCCCTTCCTCATCACATCCCCTTCCCGCATTTCTGGTCCTGCCAATGTGCTTTTGAAGCGTTGGCTCAGACTGCTGAGCCTTCTTGCGCCTCCTGGCTGAGCCCCCTGAAGAGGAAGTGATATTTTCTGGTTGGACTGCAGCCCAAGATAACAGGCTGCACTTTGTTTGGAAGTCTCTAGCCTGGGGCTGTGAATTTGCTGTGGTTGTTGTGTGTGTTCACACATGTGTATGGGAGCAGGTGTATATACACTCATAGATCATTCTGTGAATTTAACACAGATGTATTGGTGCCCTTATTATATGCCGTGGAGATGATTCCAATTCACAGCGATCCTATGTTGTAGCTAAGTGCCGTCGAGTTGATTCCAACCCATAGCGACCCTGTATATGTTTCCAAGGAGCAGCTGGTGGGCTTGAATCACCAACCCTGCAGTTCAAACAACTTTGCAGTCTGACGCATTAGCCCACAGCACCACACCAGTAAAACTCCCCCAAAAGGTTTCTTTCCAAGACTGCTCTGGACTGCTAACCACAGGTCAGCGGTTCCAACCCACCAGCTGCTCCACAGCAGAAAGATGAGGCTTTCTGCTCCCATAAAGATTTGCAGCCTTTACTATGAATCTGAATCGACTCAGAGGCACTTAGCAACCACAACAGCAATCTTTTAAGCAGATTGCCACATCTTTCGCCCGGGGATCAGCTCGTGAATTCAACCTTGCAGCAGCTGAGCGCATGAAGCACCGTGGCTCTTTTTCCCCACCCCAACCGCTGTGTCTTAGTTCTCTAGTGTTGCTATTGCAGAATACCAAAAGGGGGTGGCTTTAACAAACAAAATTTTATTTTCTCACAGTTTTGGAGGCTAGAAGTCCAAATTCAGAGTGTTGACTCTAGGGGAAGGCTTTCTCTCTCTGTGGGCTCTGGAGGAAAGCCCTGGTCTCTCCTGAGCTTCTGCTCCTAGATGGTCTTCATTCGGTTTTCACTTCTCTCTTCCCCCATTTCTGCTCCTTCAAACTCCCTTTGGATTCCTGGTGTGGCAATGTGGGTTAATGCATCAGACTGCAAAGTTATTTGAACTGCAAGGTTGGTGGTTCAAGCTCACCAGCTGCTCCTTGGAAACCCTATACAGGGTCACTGTGGGTCGGAACTGACTCAACGTCACTTAACAACAACAACAACAACAACAAACTCCTTTATGTTTTGGAAGAAATTTGACTCAGGAAGCACCCTCCACCAATTTTGTCTCATGAACTAACTGAAACAGCTCATTCCCAAATGGTGTGCATGCAGACCATCTGGAGGGATGAGGTTATTCCAATTGACAGTGCCTGGCCAGCAGTTTGTACCCAGTAAATGGTTACTCAGTACTGTTGTTGTAAAGTTCCACTGAGTCGCTTCTGACTCATAGTGACCCTGTAGAGGGTTTCCAACGAGCAGACGGTAAGCCTGAACCGCCGACCCTGCAGTTCAAACGGACTTTGTAGCCCAGTGCACTAACCCACAGTGCCACACCAGTACTCCACCACAGACAAAGAGGTTTTACAACACACGTTTTGGGGGATTCATTTCAATCCATTGTTGTTAAGTATTGTCGTTGATTCCGACTCCTAGCAACCCTGTAACATGCGGTGCCTATTACAAAACGGGTGGATGGCACATCTGGAGCTTGGGTGGGAGTGCATACATGGAGACCAAGAGAAGGAAAGGACTTCCGAGGTTCAGACTGGAGGCCTGGAAGCGACTGCCTTCACCCCAGTTTACTCCCTGTCGCTCCTGTGGCCTCCTGGTGCCATGGGAGAGGTTCCTGAGGGGTGGACTGCCTTCTGGTTAATGTCCCTGCTCTCTCATCATCCCAGGACCCTTGTTACTAGACAGCTTGGGGCTAAGTGTAAAGACCAGGATTCCCCCAGAGATGACTTCTAGACAGGCCCTGGGCAAGCCTTCCACTTCAAGCAAGCCTCCACTTCTTCACCTGCAAACAGGGTGAGGGCTGTTTTGGATACTCCCTCCAAAGCTCAGCACTGGACCTAGCTCAGTATGTCTTAGCTGCTGTATGAAAATCAAGCCCTGTATACCGCAGGGGATCCTGGCAAAAGAAAGTCTCCAAAGAAACAGCCCAGGCCTAAGGGTTGCCTGGTGTAAGCTTTGTGGATTTTACTGATGGGTAGCATCCAATGTTTAGGGGAGGACTCATGATCTGGGGTAGTAGGATCAGCAGTGGGCTGTGAACCACAAGGTCCGCACTTCAAATCGACAAGCAGTTCCTGGGAAATCCTATGCGGGGTCGCTATGGGTTAGCATTAGCTCAACGGCACTTAATGATAACAACATATGTTTAGGGAGCAGTCTCAGTTCTAGGAAGTGACCCAAAACATGTGTACAAACGTTTAGCTCTAAATAGGTTCACAGTGAAAAATTGGAAACAGCCTTAATGTCTAAGTATAGGCTATTGGTTAAATTTGTGATAGGACACACAGTATCGCTCAAGAGAAAGTTTACAAAGCAGTTGGTTCCAACTCACAGCCACCCTAAATAGGTTTTATTGTTTAAGTGCTGCTGAGTCAGTTCTGACCCATAATGACCCTGTATAGGGTTTCTCAGGAACAGCTGGTAAGCTTGAACCACTGACCTTGTGGTTCAAACGACTTTGCAGTCCAGCACATTAACCCACAGCGCCACACCAGGATTCCTGTATAGGATTTCTGAGGCTATAAATCTTTACAGGAGCAGAAAGTCTCATCTTTCTCCCTTGGAGCAGGAGTAGATTTGAATTGCTGACCTTGTGGTTAGCCCAGCTCACAATCCACTGTGCTTTCAGGGCTCCTTTATGGAGCAGTAGCTAAATGTTGAAAACAAGTACCCAGGTACACAGCGAGACCTGGAAGCCTAGACTCGCAGATATTCAAGAGTGGTTGACTCGGAGTGATTTTTACAATTTTCCTTCCACCTTCCTATTCTAAAAATTACTTTTTGAAAATTTCTAGAATGAATTCCTTTGTAGGAAGCCCTGGTGGCGCAGTGGGTAAGTGCTTGGCTGTTAACCGAAAGGTCTTCATTCGAACCCACAAGCCAACTCCTTGGAAGAAGGCCACAAGGCCGGCTTCCATTAAGATGAACAGTCTCGGAAAACCACAAAGAGCAGTTCTATTCTGCCCTATGATTTCTGGGGGTTGGAATCAACTCAGTGATAAATGGATTGTTTCTTTTGTGGAAACTACAGTAATGTTGTTAAGTGCTTTTGAGTTGGTTATGACTCATAGTGACCCTGTATAGGGTTTCCAAGGAGTGACTGGTGGGTTTGACTGGGGTCCAGGGTTTCTCCCATAAAATCACACCAGGACTCCAAATACAGTAATATGTTTCATTAACTTTGATTTCATGTTATTAAAATATTTACGAACCGGGCTGAGAACCTCACGGTCAGCAGTTCGAAACTACCAGCTGTTCCACGGGAGAAAGATGAAGCTTTCTGCTCCCGTAAAGATTACAGCCTCGGAAACCCTGTGCAGGGTCGCTATGGGTCGGAACAGACTCCACGGCACATCACAACAACAACATTAAATATTATCAAAATAGGAAATATTTTTTAAAGGTAAATAATAAAAGAAAGGGAAATTTTACTAGCCTTAATATCTGAGTGCATGGACTGTTCTTGAGCACTCTCAATAAATGTTAGTTTGTGGTGCAGTTAGACAGTATTTAACAATTGTTCGTTTCTTCTCAGCAAGCATTGCATGGAGAGTCCTGGTGTGGTGCTGCATTCAGCATACTGCACTGGATCTCAAGTTCGTTTGAACAGCAAGGTCAACAACCTCACCAGTCACTCCTCGGAAACCCTATACAGGGTCGCTATGAGTCGGAACCGACTTGACGGCACTTAACAACAATAAGAAGATACAGTTCTATATCAAAGGGAGGCGCTGTGCCGACAATATATCAAAAGATTAGATAAAATGCAATATAATTAAATGTAAACTAAAATTAAATAGGAGTCCTGGTATGGCGCTGTGGGATAATGCACTGGACTGCAAAGTTGTTTTGAACCACAAGGTTGGCAGTTGAAACTCACCTGCCTTATGAGTTGGAGCTCACGGGATGGCATATAATAACAGCATTGAGTAACCGTTTATTGGGTTAGAAGTGTTGGCAAGACACTGTCAAATGGCATAACCCCATCCCTCCAGATGATCTGCAAGCACACCAAATTTTGAAAAATGTTGTAAGGGTGTTTTTGCCTCCTGCGTTTATTTATTCTCTATTAACTCATTGCTTTCACTCATTCCTAACTTGGAGGCGTGTGTTTATTTTAAGTACGCATGCGTACTCCGGCCACCTTGCACCGAACCCCTGTGCCTGGAGGTCCCGCCTCCTGACGCTGACCATTGGCCGGCTCCGTCAGCACGCTCCTGATTGGCGGCCGCGGGCTGAGAGTGGTCGTCCATCACCATTGGCGGGAAGGCGGAAGCCGTGTTGAATGGCGGCGGGCTCGCAGTCGTCAGCTTGTAGCGCAGAGTCAGTGAGGCTGCCGCGGACGCCGCCGCTGAAGGTGCTGGCGGAGCAACTGCGGCGTGACGCGAAAGGCGTCCCGGGCGCGTGGCGGCTGTGGCGGGCAGGCCGCGGGCCGCTGGAGCTGGCAACCGTATGGATGCAGGGCACGGTGGTGGAGGCGGGCAGCGGCGAGGCGCGGCTGCGGGACCCGAGCGGGGCTTTCACGGTGCGCGGCCTGGAGCGGGTGCCGCGCGGGCGGCCCTGCCTGGTCCCAGGTAACGGGGCGCTCCCCACCCCCAGACTTTGCTCTTGCCTTCTCCGCCCATATGGTGCCCAGCCCTCTGCAGCCGGTCGGCATTTGTAACCAGCTCCTCCCACCGGTGATTTCTCCCGGGAGGATTTGTCAAAAGCTTACCTAGAACCTACGTTCATTCTAAACGTCCAGCTCGAGCTCCCGTCCCCGGGATCCCCCCCGAAGCCCCTCTCCCTCCTGCATGGTCACTAGTACAGCTCTGTTTGAGGTTCCCAGCCCGCCTGTCCATACCCACGGGCTGGGTGTTAACTCAGAGTCTGCAGGGCTGGATGGACCGATTATTTACCATTCTACCCAGCGCTGTCCACTCTGCTGTCTGCAGACAACACTTTGAGAACTGCCCGGCCATAGTCCATGCTGTATCCCCAGTACTTGACCATCAGGTGCCCTGGGAAAACAGCCTCCCTCAGAGTGACAGTCCCAGGGATGTTGGCCGGGGACCTGCTGTGTTGCCCCCCAAACGGCAGCTGTAGAGAACCAGGTGGACACAGGCCAGGGGCACGCCTTCCAGAGAAGCCCTGGAAGGTACAGGGTGTTGAGGTGATTAGTCAGAAAGGTTCCTGGGGATTCTGGGGTCTCAGTTGAAGAGGTGGAAAGATGGGTGGGCCGCCATGGCAGGCGGGGAGCGAGCTTCCTTCCAGATAGTCTGGAATTCAGATTGGAGTGGGTGGTCTGGTAGGGCGTCTCGGAATTCACACAGACCTGGTTGAGTTCTTGACTCTGCCCCTTCCCAGCTGAGCTGTTTTTAGAACTTTATTAACCTTTCTGGACTGGATTCCTTCTAGTAAAAGGGCCTAGTAATCCTTGCCTGGAGTCCTGGTGTGGTGTTATAGGATAAGTCCTGGACTACAGGGTTGCTTACACTGCCAGCTTGGCATCTCAGACCCACCAGCCGCTCTTGGGAAAGCCATGCAGGGTAACTGTGAATTGGAACTGACTCAATGACACTTAGGACAATAATCCTTGCCTAGTGTGCAAACTAAGAAAATAAGTGGGAATGGAATAAAGTAGAAATGAGTTAAAAATGGCCTTAGTACAGTGCCTGAGTCCCAATGAGGATTAAAAACTTGTGACTTGTTATATACTCCAAAATGCTCCCCTTCTCCCACCCACTCCCTGCCTCATCTTCTCATTTGCCTCTTTTCTGCCTTCTACCCCAGTACAAAGGAGCTCTGGTAGCGTAGTGGTTATGAATCGGGCTGCGAACCTTAAGGTCAGCGGTTCGAAACTACCAGCCGCTCCATGGGAGAAAGATGAGGCTTTCTACTCCCGTAAGGATTTACACCCTCGGAAATCCTGTACAGGGTCGCTATGGGTCGGAACTGACTCGACGGCACTTAACAACAACAACAACCCCAGTACAAGTGGGACATGATGGGGTGACCGGCCACCTCTTTTCCCATGACCCACATGTTTAAAAGGGTTTTAATATTTTTAAGTTGTTGAAAAACACAAAGAATAGTTTTGATTGAATTCAGAAATCAGTGTCCAAAGTGATTTGTGTTACAACATACCTGTTTTACATTGTCTAGTGCTGCTGCATGTTTTATAGCAGCCCGCAAAGCCTTAAGTATTTACGGTGTGGTCCCTCAAGAGACGAAGTGTGCTGACCCACTTGCTCTTTGTTCTTTGTGTCCTTCCTGGCTCCCAGGCTGAGTTCCTGAAGGCAGGAGGCCGTCTGGGGCCTGGAAAGGTTGTTGTTAAGTGTCATCAAGTTTGTTCTGATCCAGAGCAACCCTGTGCAGGGTTTCTGAGAAGCGGCTGGTGAGCTTGAACCACCAACCTTGTGGTTCAAACAAACTGGCTGTGAATTAATGTGATCTACCCACTGGTCTTGATGTGGCGCTGTGGGTTAATGCGCCAGACTGCGAAGTCATTTGAACTGCAGGGTTGGCGGTTCAAGCTCACCAACTGCTCCTCGGAAACCCTATATAGAGTTGCTATGGGTCGGAATCGACTCGACAGCACTTAACAACAACAATCCACTGGTCCTGGTGTGCTGTGGGCTAATGCGTCAGACTGCAAAGTCATTTGAATTGCAAGGTCGATGGTTCAAGCTCACCAGCTGCTCCTTGGAAACCCTTTGCAGGGCACCTTAACAACAACAATCCACTGGATGTTGTACCTGGGAACTCAGCCAGTGAGTTCATTCCTGTGTATTCACATTTCAATTAGCAAAACTGACTTGCTTCTTTAGAGGGGATCCTGCCCAGAAAGTCAGCAGGCCACAAAAAGTAGGGCATAAGCACAGGGTACCATGGGCGCAGGGGAGAGACAACTGAGGCAGCCTTGAGGGGGTCAGGGAAGGCTTCCTGGGAGAGGGAGACCTGAAGAGGCATTGGAGTCTGTAGACTGACTGGGGAATGAGGGGTCCTGGGAGGTGGGACAGTGGGTCCCCCGTGTGAGTGTGCAGTGGCAAGAGATTGGCCAGGTCCATGGAACCCCATGTGCAAAGGCTTGTAGACACCAGAAAGCCCAGTGTCTTTGGGGAGCCTGGAGTAGAGTGTGGGGCAGTTTCCCCAGCTGTCTGGGGCTGTCTGGACCTGCCAGTCCTAGTAGTCTTCAGCGTCTGCCGAAGCTCCTCTGCACTTTCTCTGGCACAGCAGCATTTGGTCTCCAGATCCCTCACGTGCTGAGGATGCAGAGCCAAGTCAGATGCCCCTGTTCTCGAGTTGCTCCAGTTTGCAGGGGAGCCAGGAGACAAATCAGTCTCTCCAGTGCACTGCGGTCAGCCAGGTGCCCGAGGCATGGCTGTGAAGAGGGATAAAGTGGTAGTTGGAGGTTTGTGATACAGTTGAACAAGAGAGTGTGAAGTCTAGACCAGAGAAAGTGGGCGGAAGAAAAAAAGGTGACCTGGTGGAGAGATGATGGTTTGGTAGGAAGGCAGGTAGAATTAACCCTATATAGGGTTGCTATGATTCGGAACCGCCTTGATGGCATGTTACAAGTAACCAGCTCTGGTGGTTGGCTGCTAACTGCAGAGTTGATGGTTCAGACCCACCAGCCACTCCATGGGAGAAAGATTGACAATTTCAGAAACCCTAAGGACTCTACTCTGTCCTGTAGGGTCAATGTGAGTTGGAATAGATGGCAGTGGGTTTCAGTAACTAGCTCTGGGTTTCTGTGTGTTTGTGTGTGTGTGTATGTGTGTGTGGTGCAGTGGTTAGCATGCTTAGCTACTAGCTGCTAATTAAAAGGTTGATGTTGAAGTCTATCCAGAAGCTCCTTAAAATAAAAGGCCTGGTGATTTACTTCTGAAAAAGCAGCTATTGAAAACTTGCAGTGCAGTGACTGACTTAATATGGCTCTTCTAGCCATCGTCTTTGTGATTCCCACACCATGATTGGGTGGGGCTATGCAAATAAGGTGCTTGTGACCCACCAAGGAGATTGGACCGCTTGTTACTAATGCAAACAAGGTGTATGGACTCTGACGGTTAATATTACGCATCAACCTGGCTAGGCTGTGATTTTCAGTGGGTTGGCAGTTATGTAATGATGTAATTGTCCTTCATTTTATGAGCTAATTATTTTTCGTTTTGTGATCTGTTGCAAATCCTAGACTCTATACCTGTGGCTCTGGGCCTCCCTGGCAGTGAGCTGTCCATTATGTTAATGAGGCAGGATTAGGGTGGGATGTATCTTGAGTCACCACCTTAGTAGCTGGTGTGATTCAAGTCTCCACGCTCAGTATCCTTGTTTAAGTCAGGGGATTTACTCAAGTAAGGGGAGTTCCCTTGAGGGTATGGTCTGTGTCTAATGTATATGAATGTTCTGGCAAAGTTCTCTCTCTGGCTCTGCATCCTTGAGCCAGCAGCCTACCGTCTGTCTGACGTGCAGATTGGGTTTTTCAGCTCCAAAGTGTTGTGAGTCAGGGGAAGCCTCCAGCCTCTGCCTGACCAATAGACTTGGGACTTGCCAGCCTTCACAGTCACATGAGCCATTTCTTTGTCTGCTTGTGAGTTCTGTGAAATGTTGCAGTAAGCTTGTTGTTAAGTGCAGTCAAGTTGGTTCCATTCCATAGTGACCCTGTAGAGGGTTTCCAAGGAGCTGCTGGTGAGCTTGAACCACTGACCTTGAGGGAGAATGCGAGGGCACAAGGAGGAGTTGGGTAGAGTAGTTGGTGGGGTGGTCCAGCAGTTTGAAAAAGTTGGAGATTTGGGACCTTTAACCTGTACCTCATAGGAACAGCTTTGTACTGGCCGTTGGAAAAGAGCTTCGTTTATGTCCCTGTGGACCACAGTTCTATTCTGACACACGTGGGTTCAACGTCATCCGAGTTATCAGTCCAGTTAACTGCCGTAGGAGCCGGTGTGTCTAAACTTGTAGGAAAGAGACACCAACAGAAGTCTGTGAACCCAGCTAACTCTGGTCAGGGCCTGCGGTTGTTAACCTTCTGGTGAGGATCATACGTTTTGTGAAATCTCTATGGAGATTGACACTTGAGGGCTCATGGATTTGTAGAATGAAGCTCAGTCACGGAGAGACCGGACATGACCTGCTCAGGCAGTGTGGTGACCTGGGTTCAGAGCAATCTGAAGCCATCCTGCCAGGGGTTGAAAACCAGAGGGCTCAGGTATCAACCTGCCTGGCTTCCTTCTGCCAAAGAGCCTCAGGCCCTTGAGCAAGCCCAGCCCTGGTAGATGGAGAGAGAGTGATTACCCTGGCCTCCCAGGGGCACACAGTGGGGTCTGGCAGGGTGCCCACTCTTCTTGCAGTGTTTGGGGTTTTTAACACAATTGAGTTTTGTGTAGTTAAGATTGGCCAAGTTTTGCTTTCAAGGAGAGCCATTTCCCCAAGGGAATGGGGAGAAAGTTGTGGTTAATAAGTCATTAGGTCATTCCTATGACAGCCTGCCCTCTTGCTGATTGGCCTGCACATGCCCAGCCATTGGTCAGAGTATAGCCATAGTGGCAGGCCTGGGTCTGTACACTTGAAGTGGACATTGCTGGGGAGGAGGTGGAGAACGCTGCTGCTTGCCCAGCTCTTGACAGCATTGAGAGAAAATTGGACATGCTTTGGGGCTGTCGGGGGTGTCTTTGTAGAAAGAGAGTATGTCTTTTATAGAGACCAGTCACATACACTGACATGGAGCGAGAAACGAGATTTAGAGAGAAGCCTTGCTTTTCTGCCCCTGCCATAGAGTAACACATCTAGTTCTAAGGTACGCTCCGATGTCAGGGCTCACCATTCCGAGGGTGTCGTTAACTTTGTGCCAGAGGGCACCTTGCTGAGATTTTGTTTAACATTCTAAAACCAGAGAAGATATGCGTAGCATCTTGTAAGTTAGATGTTTGACTTACTGTGTAAATAAATGTATGTGTACGTGATCTATATTTAGGAGAAATACTAACTGCAAGGTTGGCAGGTCAAGTCAACACTCCTCGGGAGACAGATGAAGCTGTCTGCTCCTGGGATTTACAGCCTCAGAAACCGTATGCAGGCTCGCTGTGAGTCAAGATTGACTCAGTGGTGGTGAGTTTGGTTTAGTTCTGAGTTGGTTGGTGCTTTGATCTCCCCAGCAGCTCCGTGGAAGGAAGACATGGTAATCTGCTTCCACGTAGCTCACAACCAAAGAGACTTCCAGCAAGATGGCGGACTAGGCAGGCCCACTACACAGACCCTCGGCAACAAAACTATGAGAGACCAAGTGAAATAGACACAGATGAGCTTCCTGGAACCCTGAACTTCAGAGGAGTGGACTGAGTGCTTGCTGGGAAGAGAGGCTGAGCAGGGACCGCGGGAGAGGGAGGACTGACTGGGGAACAGACGGCCAGATGCAGTGCAATCATCTTGAACTGTTGTGAGCATCTTTGGCGACAGAAGGTGGCCTGGTAGAGCGGATTCACACAGGCAACGGAAAGGTATGATTCCTCCATTTTCCCCATGCTCCCCTGGTGACCAGAGATGTGGCCAGCTCCCACCCTCATCCACCCCCAGCACAGACCCTGTGCTCCGGGAGTTCGGAACCACGTGAGTGTGAGCCACATCAGTGTGAAGCAGGGACTGGCTGTGCTACTTTGGTGCCTGTATTCAGGTGGGCTTGGCTCCAGACCTTCAGAACCCACAGAGCCACCAGGCCAGCATTCGTCTAGCAGAAACCCTCAAAACCATCCACCCTGCCCCCAGCTGCCCTGTGGTCCTGACAGACACTGAAACCAACTCCATCAAGAGCCTCCATGGACCACTTCCGGATTGACTGCCCTGGACATAGATAATATCTGAGCTGATAGAACTCCACTGTCGTATCCTTCCTTCACCCTCCTTGTGAGCTCCTTGGCTGGCAGGACTCCCCTCCCAGCCCACCCCCAGAGTTTTCCAACAACTGCACTGGTATTTTTGGTTTTTGGTTTTTCCTTTCATTGTTTTGTTTTTTTCTTTTTCTCTTTTCATTCCTCGAATGCTATCCTTTCTACTTTTGCCTTTCTTTTTCTTTCTTTTCTTCAGTTTCTTATTTTCCCTCTTCTCTTTTTCCTTTTGATCTCTACTATTCTCTATTCTTTGTCTTTCCATCTTTCCTCTCTTTTTTACATGTGATTTTTTTATTTAGTACTTTTATTTTCTCTTCTGTAGTTCCATTTTCCTCTTCCACTTTTCTCTTTTGAGTTATTAGATTCTTTTTTCCTGGTTGCTGCCTGTTTTATTTCTTTTACCTCCCTTATTATTTTCTCTTTTCGCGATTATTTGCTTTATTCTGTTTTGTTTTCTTGTGTGTGTGTGTCCAGAGGTTGGGTGGGGGTAGGATTTCTTCTCTTTCCCACCCAACAGAAGACTACAATTGTGCCCATACAGCCCAACCACAACTGTATCCTCTGCAACTCCATCCGCTGGGCAAGAGCCAACACCAGCTTCTATACCACCTGGTGAATGATAGCAGCCAACACCTGCCAACCACCCCCCCACCCCCCAAACTGAGTGCACATATGGAGAACAACGTACACGCTTCATTTCTCTAACTACACCCACTGGAGACAGTTGGTGAGAGCCTAAGAACTCATCAACATACACTCATCAGTTAAATACAAATACAACACTACCACACTGCCCTGGAGACAACAGAAAATTTTAGCTCACATAAAGAAGCAAGAGAGAATGGCTCAAATGACCAAGGTGCAGAGCCAGAAAATCTTTCTGGGGAAGAAAAGGTAATGGAACTAACTGAAAAAGAATTCAAACCAAAGGTCGTTAGCCATTAGCGAGATGCAAATCAAAGTAACAGTGAAATATCATCTCACACCAGCAGTAGTAGCAAAGTTAGAACAAAACAAAAAACAACAAATGCTGGCAAGAATGTGGAGAGACTGGGACTCTCCTACTTTGCTGGTGAGAGTATAAAATGTTCTCCTACGTGGCTGGTGGGAGTGTAAAATGGTTCAACCATTCTGGAGAATGGCATTTTGTGTCCTCAGGAAATTGGAAATAGAAATACCTTCTAACCCAGCAATCCCTCTGTTGTTGTTGTTATGTGCCGTGGAATCGGTTCCAACTCATAGCAACCCTGTATAGGGTTTCCAAGGCTGTAAATCTTTATGGGAGCAGAAAGCCTCGTCTTTTTCCCTTGGAACCAGCTGGTAGTTTCGAACTGCTGACCTTGCAGTTCACAGCGCGATTGGTAACCACTATGCTATCAGAGCGCCTTAGGGTTTCCAAGAGTAGCTGGTGGGTTTTAACTTCAAGCCTTGCTGTTAGCAGTCCAGTGCTTACCCTACAGTGAAGTATTTAAAGTAAAACAAATCTACAATACTGAAAATAGGAACCAGAGCCATCAATTTATAATGAAGTCCACTACAATGCAGAAAGAGGGAATAGTGTAATTCAAAACTTTTAAATGGCGAGAAACTCAAGTAGATTTCAAGATAAAACACTGTTTTAAATGGGGGAAAATTAATAAATTACAGGGTAACTTAAAAAAAAAAACTGAATACACTTTCACATCCAAATTAAAAAGAAAAATCGGAAAGATTGAGTAAACATTAACACAACAGAAATGAAAATGAAAACACAAGCAAAATGAACTCAGCACAGAAAATTATGTGGAACATACGAACCAGCAGCACCACACAAAACACAGCAAAAGGACAGCAATCGTTCATACCTACTGATAATAACACTGGATGTAAATGGATTACATGTACCAGTCAAGAAACAGAATAGAAGACTAGGTAAGAAAATAGGACCCTACAATATGCTATATTCAAGAGTTATCAAAAAGATGGAGACAGCCTAAGTGCCTATCAACAAAAGAATGGTTAAGCAAACTATTACATCTATACCATGAAATACTATGCAAAGTTGAAGAATAACAATGAATCTATAGACCACCTCACAACATGGATGAACCTGGAGGGCATTGGTGCCATTGAATTGATTTGACTCATAGCTCATAGGGACTCTAGGGTTTCCAAGAAGCAACTAGAGGGTTGCACTGCTGATGTTGCAGTAGGCAGTCCAGTGGTGATCCTACAAGTGAAATTAGTTATCACAAAAGGACAAAACTGTTGTAAAAAGTTAAGAGGTTTTCTTGATAAAAGAAACATTCTATGATGGTTACAGGGGTGGGAGGTGGGGAAATCATTCATGGGCTAGAGGGTTGTTGTTAAGTGCCGTCGAGTCGGCATTAGAGGGTAGACACGTGGTGTTAAATGTGTGAGGGACGCAGGCAATATAGAACAAGAGGGAGGTTGGCGGAGGAAACATAAAGGTAGCAGGAGGCACAGAGGAGTGCAGAGTTAAAGTGAGTAGAGGTAAATACTGATGGTAACTGATGGTACATTGAGCAGACTGCAATCACTGGTATGAAGACGTTGAATGCTCTGAAAACCCTCACTAAATTCACAGTAAAAAGTTTTGTTTTTTTTTAATAGATCACAGCCAAGAAAACCCTATAGGGTGAGTTCTACCCAGTCACATGGGATAACTTGGAGTCAGAATCAACTCGACGGCACCCAACAATAACTATATATGTCTCACTGCCTTCACATTTAATGAGCAATATTTAAATTTCTCAATTGTTACCTCTGATAAATTTGGGCTCTCTGGACTGGGTGTGTTTACTCCGTCTCTCCTTTTCCTTCTCTTCTGTAATGTGGGGACATTGGTGGTGGTGGTGGTGTGCCATGAAGTCCATTCCGATTCATAGTGACCCTATAT